GTACCACGATTGTTAATGTCATTTTGCTCTCTCAATTTCCCTACTTTGCAAGTTTTTTGCATACGCGAACACAAAAAGCTGATAATTTTTATAACTTTCAATAATTAGCAGGTACGCGAAAGCAACTAATTGTGAACGGTATTTTTACTTTACGAATTCCATTGTAGAGTACAAAGACTCACAGTTATACGTTGTACCAAAAACATCTACTTTTCTTCTTTTGCTTTTCTTAAAAAGGAGGATTTCGGATATTGTAAATGCATCCTCAATTATGTAACATAAAAAAGCGTTTATGAAGTATGCCAACGTACATTTAAATAATTTCAAAGCGGCAAATCCTTTTTCAATATCTGTTTTTAAATCTAGTGCAATATTTTCTTTAGCCATGGATCTAGCTGAGCTCTAGCTGAGATCCCTTTCTTTTTTAAACACCTAGGATATCACTGACCAATAAAAAGGACCCTGAATGACCGCAAACCTCAAAGCTTTACACATTTTTGTATGTGATTTTTAAAAAGAACGATCCAAAATTAGCCGGTATACATATTGAAAATTTTTTAGAACCAGTGGTTGAATTTTTGTACTGAAAGGGTTAACCCTAAAAGTATAATCTACGTCTGCGAGGCGTATACGGAATGGGTTTTTTTTTAATTTTGACACAAAATTTACTTTTTATTTTGTTGTTTTAAATAAATGTGGTTATAGTTTTTATTAATAAAACTATGTTTTATTATTAGTCAAACTCACAACTTCAATATTCTTTAAAAAATAAGGCAGGACTAAGTATATTTTAGCTCACAGGTTATCTTTTAAGTACATAAGCCTCTACGGCGTATGTTAAGGCTTTACGTTACTCCCAAATAGATTAGGCTTCTAGGTTTAAGAAAGCTTTAGTTTGAAAGTGTGATATTAAATGCTTTTCGCCATAAAGGGCGCCAATTTTCAATAATTATTGCGTTTCAGATTAAGACTAATACCAGATATTGTGAAAGGTTGGACTATACCTTAAAGATGACGGTTTTCTCATGACCCACTGCACGAAGCTTAGAGTAGAGTAATGTCTTTTAAGAACTTAAAAATTATCCTGGGTTATCAGGTGTCTAGCAATACAAGATTAATTGTTGTCTTTCACGAAGTTCTTTAAATAAATTTTGAGCTAAGTACTCGCCCGTATTTCGAGGTTACTACTAGTTTTAATAAATTGTTAGTTTAATTTCCTATAAAATTTACCTTTAGGTTTATGCATTTTAAGAATACATCGAAAATTTGTTTTAAAGAATCAATGTGAAATAGTTGCAGAAACGATTAGCCGGTTTGCTGAGCAACCGAGACGTCTGCTTTTTAAATAATTTTTGTAAAACAAATTGGCAAGTACATATCGTCTCCCGCATGCCAGAAACAGAATGTTTAAAGATGAAAATTTTGGGATTTTTTTATATGTCGGGCCCCGCCCTAAATTCGATCCTGGCGACGCCCACGTCTTTGGCATTCAAGCCTGTCAAACTATCGTAGGGGAACACAATTGGTTGAGCAGATAGACGATTCGACATTCAGAACAATGAAGGACGACGCACCCACAAGGGTTATGGGCAGCTGCTGCAGCTCGCCAGACCTAACAATAGTCAGCGCTGGTCTGATAAACAGCGTATCATGGCGACCTATTCTGACTCTAGCATCAGACCATCTGCCTATAATCATCTCGATTGATAAACCAGCCGACTTTGCTTCTGCGGATCACCGAACCTATGTCAACTTTTCTAAAGCTGATTGGAAAGGCTTCGCGGATGTTGCTGAAAGCGCCTTCACTGCACTACCCATACCAACACGTTCGCGTAGGTGAACGTAAGTTCCGCAGGGTTGTCACCGCTGCTGCAGCCCGCTTCATCCAAGCGGGATGCATCTCGGACCCTCGTCTGAATTTTCCTGCAGAAGCGGCTGTCCTAGCCGATCCCGGAAATCCCGGCGTTAGGGATCTCAACTCGGAGGACCTGCAACATCGCCTCTGGTGTGAGTAAGGTTTGGTCAACCGTGAGGTCATTGTCCAACCCGACGAGACGTGGCGACAGAGTTGAAATAGACTTTGGTGAACCCGCTTCGTCGGACCCGGAGCGATGCGCGAGCTATTTTAGCTGGCAGTTCATCCTGCATCCTCCAGTGGATAAAGCCGAACGTCGAGTGACCAGAAGGCTGAACAAACTGCCAAAACCAAGTGCACCTCTTGTTTTCACCCGCGGTGAGGTAAGGGTAGCCATCGGGAAGGCGAAAGCCTCCAAAGCCATTGGACCCGACGGAATATGCATGATGATGCTGAAAATTTTGGGCCCTACGGGAGTAGCGTACCTAACGGAGGTCCTCAACTTGTCAATGGCCACTCTCGTCATTCCAGACATCTGGAAGATGGGGAGAGTGGTCCCACTGCTCAAACCGGGGAAACCAGCCAACAAAAGAGAGTCTTATCGTCCGATAACACTCCTTTCCCGGTATCGAAGACACTAGGGGCCTTGCTACTTGCACAGCAGCACTTAACGCCATAAATACCCAGATAACTCGTGGCCTAAATCGAAAGCGGCCCTGTGAGAGAACCATTCTAGTATCGCTGGACCTGTCTAAGGCGTTCGACACTGTCAGCCATTCAACGCTACTAGAAGACATAGAGGCCTCCTCTCTCCCACAGGGACTAAAACGGTGGTCGGCGAATTATCTGAGTGGTCGTCACTCGTCGGTAACTTTTAGAGACAAATCGAGGAAACCGAGGAAAATAAAGCAGGGGGTTGCAAAGGGTGGGGTCCTTTCCCCATTACTGTTTAACTTTTATAGTTCAAAGCTTCCTCAACCTCGTCTCTTATGCCGACGATTGCTCGATCATGGCATCAGGGGATGGAATTGATGACTTGTGCGCGAAAGTAAACGGTTATATCGCCGAGCTTTCTCGCTCCTTCACTGCACGGAGCCTAACCCTCTCCCCTACAAAATCCTCAGCCACACTTTTTACCACCTGGACGAAGGAGGTCAGACTCCAACTGGGAATTCACGTCGATGATACATCAATTCCGACGGTGAACAACTCCGAAGATACTCGGAGTAACATTCGATAGTCTGCTCTCCTTCTCCGCGCATACAACCGCAATTGTCAACAAAGTACAAAGCCGCAACAAGGTCCTCAAGTCGCTAGCCGGAAGCACCTAGGGCAAAGACAAAGGATCGTTGCTGGAAACATACAAGGCAATTGGCCAGCCAGGCAAGCTGCAGACTTGCAAGAACACGGCACTTAGGACAGCGACAGGATGCCTCCTGATGTCGCCGCAACACCACCTGCACGAGGAGGCCCACATGCTCCCAGTTAAGAAGCATAACATACAGCTCTGCAGGCAGTTCCTGGTTGGGAGCCACAGATATGGCCATCCAAACAGGCAACTCCTTGCAGAAGAGCCTTCGCCCAGGCACGTCAGGAGGCATCTATACGAACTGACGGACGAAGTCCAGAGGTTCATCAAACAACCTCTGGACCCGACAGCCTATCGACAGGCCTTTAAAGGCATTCACAGAGAGGCAGTCTCGAGTTAGGTAGACTCCCGAACTGTGAATGCCGTTCTGGGCACACAACTTAGTCTGCCACGGGAGACTCGGACCACAATAGCCCAACTATGCTCTGGTTACTGCAGCAGGTTGAACTCATACCTGAGCAGATTAAGCGAAGATATTCCAAATGAATGCCCGGCATGCTGAGAGTCGCCCCATGACTCACAGCATCTCTTCGCATGTCCTCTAAACCCCACCACGCTAACGCCCCTGCCCCTGTGGACAGACCCCGTCGAGGCTGCACGCTTCCTAGGGCTGCCATTAGTGGAGCTTGACGACAACGACTGAGGGACTAACCGATCTGGGCGGGGTTGTTGTAGCCGCTACAACAACAACAACAACAGCGTTGGAACTAAATTTACACCACAGCCCGGCACTGGAAAGCTGGCCCTTAGAATGGCGTTATTTATTTGTTCAATGAATTATAGGGTGTATGAGAAACCGTGAAGATTGTTATTGCATATTTTTAGTGTTAATTGTAATCATTGTTATTGTTTATAGTTTGTTATTTCTATGCATGAAAGGCATGTGCAGTGAATACAAATAATGATAGCGATGATATTTTTAACTCACAGTTACGGGTAGACGGAGAATGACAAAATGCCCCCAACACTCCACAAATATTTCATCCAAGATTCAGAGATAATATCCCACGCTTTGTTGCCTACCTATGTGTGTTCAATTGCCAGAAGAAGTCCTGGAAGCACGAAATAAAGCATTAAAAATAAAAAAGACAATGATGCTTCCTTTTTGATGAACAATTAACAAAACACTTATTATTACATTGCTTGGCAACGTGGGTGAATTAATCAGCTCTATGAAGAAATCTTTTGAGAGTAGTACTTCCGTAAAGGGATGATGCTGGTGATGAAAATAGTGATGAAGATAATGATGAGGATAATTATGATAGTGATAGTGATAATATTTAGTTTGTAATTGATGATGATTATGATTTTAACAAATTATCGTTAATAATAAAAATTATTTCTTTATTTATTATTTAAAAACTAAAGTTTCACTTTTTTCACTCTTCGGTAATGCCATAAAAACCTTCATAAATAAAAAATATCCTACTAAACTAATTATACAAATACATCAAAATATTTTAAATTAAATGTAGGTATGAATTGATCTCCAGTTTCAGGGTCGATTACCCCACTGTGCAGCGGCCGCACCCAGGCGGGCATCGGTAAACCTCAGATTGTATTTCTGCCATGAAAAAGCTTCTTTTAAAATCCATTTGCGGTTCAGAGGCGGCGTAAAACTGTTGGTCCCTTCATTTGTGTAACAACGTCAAGACGCACACCACAAATTGGATGAGAAGCTCGGTCAAAGCGCCAAAATATCATTATTAAATAATAAGAGAAAATATGTATTATAATAAATAAATAAATAATAATAAATTTCTTACATAATTTCAGATGACAGAGAACCAAACCGAACCGCCTAAGGTAGATGTGGCTCCTGAAAGCGATATGAAGAAAACTCAAAAGTAAGCTAAAAACAAAAGAGAAACAGAAATTATATCTTCATAATTATTTCAGTCAACAAGGCTTTATCACATATCCATCTCTAAAAACATCGTCCAACAGAATATCACCTAGGAAAACCCAATATGTTTCTATGGGAAACACATCTAACGCCTCTACCATATACCCTGGAAGAATGAGCCAAAAGGATCGACGATTATTAAAAATGATATTAGTTATTTTTATATCTTTTCTTTTCTGTCATTTGCCTATAACTATCACAAAAATTTGGAAGGGCGCCACAGTGTTTCATATTGTTAATATAAGTGGATATTTACTTATTTATTTAACAACCTGTATAAATCCCCTCATATATGTCTTCATGTCCAATGAATACAGACAAGCATATTGGAATTTACTGCGATGTCGACAGAAAGCATGAATCGCCAATGCTATCCAGTTTTGGTATAACTTATGGTTAATTTACAAGAGTTTTACATATACACATGTGTTTTGCATATACATACACATTTTTTTAAGCATCAATTCACTTCACCATTGTCAAAAACACATTCTTAATTCAAAGATACTCCAACTATAAGTAAGTACATACATATCCAGGGCTGCCAATTTAGCTCTTTTCCCGTCAAATCTGGCTTTTTCGAAGTCCATTTAGCGGCAGGAAATTAGAAATTGCGGGGAGGGGGAAATCCAGCTTTTTGAGAAATTTTTTGACGGATTTTTAGCTTTTTCCCTTATACAATATAGTACATACATAAGCCCAAAATACAATAGCGCAGTGGCAGTGTTTCTAAAAAAACAGCTGATTTCGAAAAACTGTCACTGCCACTGCGTTATTATATTTTGGGCTATATGTATTTAAAGTTACCAAATAATTTCGATACAATCAAAAGAGATAAACGGCCCTATTGTGGTTGTCGACGTCGACGTTGATGCAATTTTTTCATCTAACTGCGGTTTCGCTGAACACTGTAGTTTTGCGAGGAACACATTTCCGCAAAAATACTGTGGTCAGCGTCGACTTCGACAAGCGTAATAGGGCCGAATAGGTTTCCAGTGGGCAATGTTTTACGTACATCGCTCGAGGAAATATGATATCATAGAAAAAAAAATTATTCAGTATAATATAATTAATTTTGTAAAATGGAATAAGATAAGTAATACAAAGCAATTTTGGGCAGAAGTTCAAACTTATACGGATGCAGGTGGCTTCAAATTGATTTCCGATCCGGCTGAATTTGCATTTCATTTACTCTCACTACCTTGGTCTAATGCAGACCTGGAACTTTATCAGTCAGCTAAACTTGGTGAAAACAAAGCTGCGCAATAGTATACACTTATATATAGTTATATTAACTTTCGTACTTAATTTTAATTTCTGATTAAATTCGATCCCAGCTGTATTATTCTATTACACCTATGGCATTCGACGCGCTGAATGCGAATCCGAGGTCTGTTAGCCCCCCTTACGACAGGTTCGAGGTCATTTGAAGGTAAAGTAGGGGAAAAATCATCGAATAGACCTGCAAATTCATATATGTGGGATGTTAGACTTGCTGAACCCGAATCCGAGGTCCGTTAACCTCCATAATGTCAGGTTCGAGGTAATTTGAGGGTCAAATAGGACAAAAAATTTATTCAATAAAAATAAAAAATAAAAATTTAGTTTTTGTCGCTTAATCCCTTGATTCTTCAAGATCATCTAGATATCAAGGTCGAATTCAGAAGAATTCTTTTGAATTTTCAGGTTTCTTCAAGGAAGTTTTCTCCACTTGACCTTCAAATGACCTCGAACCTGACGTGATGGAGGCTAACAGACCTCGGATTCGCATTCAGGGCGTCGAATAACAGAGGTTTAGTTCAGTATTTTTGTAAACCTGTCTTACCTATTAATTTTAATTTCAAGTAGTGGTTTAAATGAATTGCCTAAAACTATAATAATATAAACCTATTTTGTTTTCAGCTCTTGTTTAGCTTGTTTCTAACGGGTTTTTACAAAAATCTGGATTCTTTTACTCGAAAAGAGTTGGCAGCACTGTACATATCTCATATAAACTGTTATTTCGTAAATTGAGAAAGGCATGTAAAAGATACACATATGTATATGTATTTACAGTAGTAAGAGGTATGTACTGTCAAAAGATAGATGCAAAAAGCTGATTTTAAAAATTTAGGATTGTGACCAGTCGTTGGAGTGAGAATCGTCCAAACAAAATTTGCCACTTTGCTACTGTAATAGTTGGTTACCAGGTAAAGAAAAAAAATTGCTTTTATTTTCCATAGGGCAATAGTTCAAAGTTCGCAACTAACACGATACGCCATGACAAATTGATCTCAAAGTTGAGTACAATAATCTGCTTTCGAATGAGCTTCTTGGCACTATGTTTTATTTTGATAGATCAAATGATACGGATATGGCCACAACAAATGTATGCCCTTTACGTTAACTTAGGTAATATATAACAATTCGATGTCAAACGAAAAGTAATCGAAAGGATTTTGGACATATCTTTGGGTTAGGACCCATTCAAAAAGTTAAAATTTGTCGCAATATCCACTTTATAATTTTTTCAAGAGAACATCTTTTTTAGACCAACACGTATTTATATTTTCATCACGTCCTGCATACATTAATTGCATATGTACATATGTATTAAGATTACTTTGACGTCTTTTAATACTTAGATACATAAAACCCTAAAGCCCTTTTTATAATGTCACTTTTTGTTTCTCCGAAATAGATCTTTTCTTATTTATTAATATATATATGTAAAAGCAACAATCGATATTATGCTTATGATACTTAAGTATATACATATTACCAAATGATAAGTACTGAAAAAAGCGCATAACGCTTGGGGTAATCAGCTCTTTATAGGCCCACACAAGGAGATTCAAATAAAAAATAAAAAACCTTTGTAAAAAATTGTTTGCTTTTTATTTATAACATGTACGAAGCTATAGCTCAAATACAATAAATTTGCGTTTTTATTTTTTTCACAAGACGTCTGATTTTTTTTTTTTAACTTTATCTCTCAACAAGAATGGTGGTTAAAAAAAAATCTTTTTGATCTAAAATTATACAATGTATGGAAATATGGGTATAAAATGAAAGAGAATTTTTTTCATAGTTATCCTTTAATAAAAATTAAATAAAATTATGAATGTAAGTAACAGACAATACTTTAAAACGCCAGAACACTTGTTTTTAACAATATTTTGGTATATAAATAAAACATAGTTCATAAAAAATAAAAGTGCCATTAAATTTAACATGAGTGTACACATCATTGTACACAGAAGCCAATAAATTATTTTATATTTATGACATTGTTGAATAGCAATAATGAGATCATTTCCATCTTCAGCCTATACATAGTCAAAGAATTCTTTACATATCATTTTAAAATTACTTTTAATTTCTTTCATATGCTTCGTTTGAGTGTGGTATTACAAAAAAAAAAAAACATTTCAAACTGTGGAAGAGTACCACTATTTAAGGACTTCATCAATATTTCCTCATGGCTTAAATTATTTCTTTTAACTACGCAAAAACTTTAAAAGACTAAGAATTCGCTGAAAAGAGTATCCAACTCTATGTCTTGTATGCAAAACTCTTTTACAAGGTCAGTAAATTGTGAAAAAAGAATTGTAAGTTATAGGCAAAAGCCATTCGAATATCCAAATTGGCTGTTATTAAACTGAAAGTTATTTTCGAGATAACTAACAACACTCGACAAAAAAACTTCAGCCTTATTTTTAAATAATTTAAGCTCCATCATATTATCGCAACTGGAATGTAACGACCCGGCGATATGCCCATAAAAGGATTGATTTTTTGTTGTATTAATTTCTTGGACATATCAAACATTATCTGAAACATGTCAACTACAATTGAATTATTTTCTTCTTACTTTTTACTGTACAGTTTAGGGAAGCTCCAGCGTTGTGTATAAACCTTAAGAAAATCTTAAAGTATTTTGTTTGAATTGAAAATTCAGTACAAATCAATATAAATTTTGAAAAATCAGGACATTAGCGTACTGGTTAAAGAAATTAATAAAATCAGTACAAGAGTTGAAAAATCAGTACTGCACTGATAAAATCAGTACGTCAGGATAGTTGGCAGCCCGGTTCGCCATACCTACGGTGATAATCCGTCCTTTATTTTAAAGGACAGTCCTTTATTTTAACCCCCCTGTCCTTTATAATTTTTTTCAAAATAAAGGACGTGTTTTGTCGTTTATTTCTTAAACTACCCATAAATCGGCTCTGCATTTTTCAGAGGTAAATTTTTAAAAGTTTGTTTCGCACCCCACTTACGGGTTTCTATTTAATCAGTAATCTTTGTACAATCTATAAAGCACAGCGAAAGTTGTGCCCAGGATCGTGTTGCACGCTGAGTTTCCAGTTCCACTGAAAGAGAACAATAAACCCTCTGCTGCACAGTGGTTCAAAACTGGCATTTAGTGTTCGTAATTCCTCCGTGAGCCTTCATTACAACGCTTTTTTCACTTAATTTGATTAATTTTTATTTTTTTTTATGAAAGCTTACAATATTTGCAAGAGACCAGTTGAGCCTGATTTACGAGTTTTATTTGATAATATTAAATTTTTTAGTGCAAAATGCAGAAAAAGTAGCAATTTTGAAGAAAATGTATTCCCCTGGTCCAGTTATTAAACGTTACATAACAAAAACTAGTTGAAAACAATTGTATGGTTCTCCCAAAACAAAAAAATATGCACAAAAAAAATTTTGAAATGTTATAAAAAAATGTTCACCAACATAAACTTCCTTTTTTGATTTTTAGTAAAAATTGGTGTTGAAAAATGAAGGCTCCGGTGTATTATGAACATTAAATTCCAATTTTGAACCACTGTGTGCTGGCTTCGTCGTGCAGTATGAAGTAAACGCATTTGGTAGCAAAGAATGGCGAAGTCCTTGAAAAGGATTTTGCTCCATTTTTCGCTACAGCAGGGGAACTTGTACAATTAAATAATATAATTAACTGGTAAATATTTGATTTAACTTTTATCATACAAGTTGTATGTACGTATTCCCAAATCATTTTGAAAAAAATACCCTTTATTTTACGTTGGTTAATATACCGCACTGCAGTAGGACCGGTGAGTAAAAGAATTTACTGCACACATTTTTGCCGCTTCAAAAACAAGATGAAAAAAGTAAGAAGTAAATAAATTAAAATAAATATAGCAAGCTACAACGTAATTGTCTTCGCCAGAGGATATTTTTGTTAAATGATTTATGAAATTTTGAATATTAATTTCGTAAATCGCGGCGTTTTTATTTTTTTTCTACAAATTACATACCGCAAGTATTCCAACAAGTGTGCAGATCAGCGCGACGCACAGTGCAGCCGAAATCCAAAAGTGCGGCCAAAATTGGGCAAAAAGTTTCTAGATAGGGCTTTTTTATCAATGTTGACTTAAGGGATCCTCTAAGAAGTGAAAACCGTTCACGGCCTATACCTCAAGTCCCCTCTTTATTTTCAGTCGGAATGTCGCCTTCGCACAAGCACAACATTAAAGTAGATTCAAAGGGGAAAGTTGTAAACATACAAAAGTACTTTGAGTAAAGGAAATCCAACCAAACCTACGTCTGAAGGTTAGTGAAATATGTAAAAAAAATGTTGAATATCAACACTGTATCAGAATTCTTTTAGAAATAGAAATATACGGGTATTTTTTTTTTACAAAATTTAAGTTAGTAAATGAAATAGTAATAAAATGCTGTTG